ATTTTTATGTATTTTGTTCAAATAGGTGCCTTAACTAGCTTTAAGATATAGATTCTAACTGCCAACTTTAAATCATAGAATTAATATTATAATGATAAATAATCGTCATTGCTCGGTGCAAGGGAATACCACGACGGGAATAAGGAAATATTTACAACTCTAAAGTCTGACAGCAACTCTAAAATTCGTGCTGGTAAATATTTACGATGCAGAACTCTAGATGTCAGTGTCGTACAACGACGACGACTCATTTTGACCCAAATGCAACGTGATGCGTTTTGTGTCTTTCGGTGTAATTTGGCTCTTCGCGCTTGCAGATTTTGGCTGAATTTTACGTTTTTTTGCGAGTTCTAGTTTCTTTATGACAGTTCCCTATCTCTAAATTTTGCAAAATCACAGCTGCGTTTTACAGAACAACTGTACCAAAAATGAGTTCAAGGCAGTCCCTGCCTAGAGATCATATAATCAGTGCTGGTTTTAAGGGATACCATGAGAGCTACAGCCCCAGCCCCAGTGCTTATGATAGCCAAAAGGAGCCCCGAGTATAAGACTAATAACAGAAAATTGTAACGAGAACATCAACCATGCAGATGTTTTCGGCCCCGGGGCCGGCAGTCTCTAAAACAGCCGCTGCATATGATGACATGTTGACAGATTTAATGCTCAATATTAACAAATCATCTATATTTAACTCCCCCCGTGTTTCCTTTTGCATTATGAGAGTTAGATCTTCAAACAGTTTTTAGCGTCGTGGCTTTTTCTATTCAACAGCATTTGAAATTGTCTCAATCTACACTTAATTGATAACATAATATTGAATACTAATTAAGGAAAACAACCAAAATTTTTTAGGAGTCTTACAGGTGGCTACATAAAGTGATAGCAGACAATTCCATTTTGAATTTATGATACATATTGATTTTGTATAATCTAACTGGTCATATTTTTGGTGTCATCAACAGAAGAGGTGGCTTTGTGCACAGGTGAAAGGTAGTGAAATTATCACAAGGTATAGTTATGAATAATCAAATTAGACAAGTTCATGTTTGGTAGCTTAGAATGATGGTCGAATTAAAGCAAGATGACAAATAAAGACAAAAATGTTTCTAGATGTATTTTTAAATAAATTTTCCTACTGCGCAAATTTGACAACTCTTTTATCTTTCATTTTCAGTGAATTTTTAGCTTCAAGCTAGAAAAATGTTTGCTTTCATTTTAAAGAAGATTAAATTACAGTAGTTTTTTGCAAGAATATGATTTAAATAGGAAGGTTTTTGTTTGCAGGGTCTAACTGCTTATTTAAGCCAGAACTGAAAGATTTTGTTTCCTTTGCTATTTTACCTAAAAGCCAATACAAATCTAGTTTGTGTTGACATATTGTATGAAATGACTAAACGAATGATAAGGGTGTCAACGAATATTCCTCGTTTTAATTTATAATTTTTCTTCTTGAATGGTAGCCTAGTATTTTTGATTGCTTTCCTTTTTTGTATTTTCATTTTTTCATGTAATGGCCTTGCGATATTCATGCTAATCTGTTCTCCATATTATCGTCATTGTGGATTTATAGTTGAATATTTT